AGAAGTTCCTCCGCATGAGGAAATACCAGGTTCTCCTAATACACTCAGATATGGGGAACAAATGCCTGTTGCTTCTGCAACATCTCTACGTGAGGACATACCTACTGGTCCTTTGTCATCTCTGCGTGAGGACATACCTGAATCTCCTGGTAAACTCAGATGTGAAGAACAAATACCTATTGCTCCTGCAGCACCTCTGCATGTGGGTATACCAGAATCTCCTAAAACACTCAGATATGATGGTGAACAGACACCTATTGCTCCTGCAACACCTGTCACTGGCTCAAGCTCGTTGAGATTTCATGACATGCAAGGAATTTCTAGATCACACAACGAACCAGCAAGTTCAACTGAAAGCACAAAAGAAGGAGCACCCCAAATGGAGGTTCAAGAATTGGAGATGGATTTGATGGATGAGGTATAACATGATTGAGTAGTCCGATTCCCGACTTGAGTGCAGGAGATTGTATTGAGTTATAGAAGTGCATTGTAAAGATTAATCTGTTGTTTGTTTCATCAGAATGTGTTGCCATCCATATCTGTTATTTTAATGCTAATAAGCGCTAACTGTTGCAAATGCCCTCTTTCTTCAGGAGATAAATTCATCTGAAGGGGATACCTCAGAAAAATGTAAGACAGTACCGTCCTTTTTAGGTTTTTTGGAGGGTAGGGGGTAATATGATCTAGTGGATCATAGTACTTTAGTTGGATGCCATTCTTATAAGTTCTTGTTTTGGCTGCAGATAATTTTTCCTTGAGAACAAGGTATGATGAATGGGGGATCTCCCTGCCAGTTTATCCCTCTTATCCCTATCTTTTTGTTACAACTCCCAGAATCTTGCTGAAGATTTCTTTCTTCTGCTTTTGCTAGAGATTCATTCTGTTGCTTTCTTGCATGCAGAAAAGTTGCCAGATTTCTGCTTGAAAACTTTCTTGCTCGAAAGGGCAAGGAGAAAGTAGAAGTTGTTAACTTGTCCTCGCTTCTGAAGGGGAAAACAAAGAAACAGAGTTCAAGGGTATTCTACGAGATACTGGTATTGTTTCTGGCATCCATTAAGCTTTTTAAATCTTTCAACTTTTGGTACATACATTAAAGAGCTTTCGAGCAGGAGTTCGTGTCCCTTCTGTCGATCAGTTGTCTGTACTCATTCATTCTGTTCATGTTCCTCTCCTTAACTTTTCCAAACCGTTTAACTTGTTTATTGGTACCTCTGTATGTGCTTGCTTCACTTGTAGCTGTTCTAAACCTTTTCTCTTAACCTCTTTTATGGAGAAAAGGGTTTCTTGGAGTGTTCTTTATTTTATTTTGTTTGCATCTTTTGGTGTTTAGTGACGTGGTCATCCAGCAGCTAAGATCCTCACAATAGCATTCAGCAAATGATAATTCATAGCTAGAATTGAGGTGGTAATTGAATCTGAAGTCGTGGGAGTCCCATTTGGATCACTTCTTTTGAGCTCCATACTGATGCTTAAACCTGATGTCCTTATTTCTATTATGGTTGAAAAAGCATCTGCCCACTTATCCTTGAAAGATTTGCACCTATAGAGCACATGTAAAGCACCGTTGGGTTGCACACACAGCGGATCTCTCTTTATCTGTACTTACTCTTAACTATTCTTGACGTGGCGTGTCCGTGTTCTTGGCGTAGCAGCTTACCAAATGCTAATGTCAGATAGGGTAGATACGTAGATATTCGTTATATGTGTTTTATACATTTGTCTATATATATCTGCACAATGCGATATGCACAGACATATTGTGTAATTACTATGCTGAATTTTCTTGCAGGTTCTGAAATCAGGGGGATGGATAGACGTGCGACAGGACGATGCCTATAGTAGCATTCTTTTGCGAGAACTTCCTAGACTAAAGCAGACATTTGAAGCGGGGGGCATCCACTCAAAGTCCTGATCTGTAACTATCTTAACATAGGTTGCAGTGTGGGTAAATAGTAGTGCAGGAAACAATCACATGTTTACGCCTTTTCTTAGAGCAGTGTGTGTAAATAGTAGTGTAGATGGATCAATCACTTGCATATTCCTTTCTGCAAGTATCTTAGAGTCTGTAGTTAGGTGAACAGGGAGAGTAGGAGGATATAGAGTGAAAGAGAAAGGAACAGTGAGAGATTGCATTGTGCTCTGGGCTCGGCTTTTTCACTTGGCAGATGAATCCAACGATCTACTCTATGAGTGGAGTTAGATTTTTGTAAATTATTATGTGTAGGAACTTCTAACTTATGAATGCAAATTTCGCAAAAATCACTCGAATTTGTTGTCAATAATTGTGTAGCGCTTTGACAAGTACTGCTAGCTACTGCACCTACTAATACTGATGGACTGTGGAACTATTGTGCACATTTGAATGAGTAAAAATGGGTTCTAGTAGTAGTTGGAACGAGATCTACGTATATTGAATTGTCATATAACAAAAATCGGGGATTCTTGTAATGAACAAGCAGGGGTCTGGCGTTATGTGGCACCAAAGTAGTGTGCTAAGTCTTGAATATTTCGATCGTCATGACTAGTGTTTTTTAGGGCATCTTAAATAACAATTTGGGTAGAGATTTTAAACATTTCGTAGGTTTTGGTCATATTACTTTGTCATAATCTTAAATTTAGAATTACTGTTGTACTTAAATTTTAGCGGTGTTTTAAAAAGTTAATTAACCGACCATCAAATCAGAAGCAGATTCTTATTATATTTAGATAGGTATGCGAAACTTGTCGTACTTAAGTTTTAGCGGGACAAGATATTATCCAATTAAGAGTAATTTAGACTTAGTTAAGGCTTTTTTCTCTCCCACTCTTTCCCTTTCCTAACATGGACCCTTCCTTAATCACAACACATATCCCGCCGGAACCTCTGGACAAACACAATCAAATGGACGTTAAATGCTTCAACCAACCCATTCCTACAAGGAAATGCTTTTAGACAAACCGGCAACCCAACAAACCGAATATTACGAAAATGACATTCCCATGAATCCAGAGAAGGATAAAGGAAAAAACATTGAAGGTTCAGTTCCTCTTTCCCAGGATGATAAATAACGCCCCTACCTCCCGTGGCACTACTCCGTAATCATCAAGGTCTTTAGACGAAAAATGTCACACCACTATCTTCGCTCTAAACTGATTGAACTATGGAAATCATCCGAACAGTTAATTTTGATTGACCTAGGATGGGACTTCTTCATAGCCAAATTCAGCTTAGAAGAGAATATGGTTAAGGCTCTTCACTTAGGACCATGGTTCATCTCAGGAAACTTCCTGTCAGTGCGGAAATGGGAACCTAAGTTTGTCTCACAAGAGGCTACCCTTTCATCTACTGCCATTTGGATTCACCTCCCGCAATTGCCAACAGAGTTCTATGATAAATACATTCTTGAAAAAGTGGGAAGAAAGCTAGGCAAGTTATTAAAAATTGACCAATGCACCTCCTCCATTTTTAGGGGACGTTATGCTTGCATTTGCATTCAAGTTCCCCTGGAAACACCAGTTGAAACCTCAGTCATAATAGGAGACCATAAATAGGCAGTGATCTATGAAGAAGAAGGATACTTTGTACGTCTTGCGACAGAATTGGTCACACCTCAATAGGACGCAACTACCAGATTTCTTAAACTACAGCTCCTCAAGAAACACCGGAAACCTCCGGGAAAAATGTAGAACGAACGGAAGAGAATTAGCGGAAAACTATCACATTTCCACGAAGGAGAAAGCAATGACATGCAAGATCGAACAATAAGAATGGTACTGTGCCAACTAGCCAACATCAAAATACACAAGGTGGTCATATTCAGGTAAACTTGTTCGATGCAAATTCAGGTAAATTTCTTCAAACTCAAAATATACGGTACAATTCAAAAAAATCATCCCCATCCCAAAACCCCAAAATAGGCCCAACGGCCCAAAAAATAAACTAAGCCCCACCCCGCGTCATCAGTCTACCCCAACGCGGCCCCTGCTCAATACAAGTACCCAACGAAAAGCTGGACCGGGGCCCGATGGCTCCACTGACCCCAATCACGCCCACCTAGATCAGGACACCACCTCTAGCCCAAGTATCGAGGCCACAGACCCCAATCTGCGACAAGATCTCATGGGGCCAGCCACGTTTTTCCAACTGGGCCCCTACCCAATTGGAGGATGTCAGCCCATCTAATTCCCCAAATCCTCTCACCTACGTTTCCCCTACCAATTCCTCTGAGATTATCTCTAATGGGGAAATCTCAACAGTCACCACCAACAATCAAGTGCCCTATCTGGAACCCCTCCCACATTGAGGTGTAAAGACACAGACCGTCAACTCCAATAGATCCACAATTAATGCCCAATCCATTCCCCAGGCTCAATTACCAGCAACCCCTCCACTAACCGAGATTTGGCACTAAATGGCGTGTTAATGGATCATCAAGTCCTTAAGTTAACCCCCCCATTACCCAAAGTAGTAAAACCAAAAAGCACAAAAATGGACAAGGATCAAACGACAACCTTCGTCACCTCTTTGCCACCACCACCGGACCACCTACCGACTTATTAGCTGGAGGTAGCTCTTCAGGGGCAGGGCCTTACCTACAGTTCCACCCTGGGAAACCAGAAGGTGACTATGATTGTTCAAAACTCAGCTCACCTAGCAAGGGTTACTGTGGAAGCATTGAACAAAGCCCTAGCGGCCTTTGGTCCTCTCCTATGGCAGACGATGGTGAACAAAGATAGTGCATCACCAATCATCGACCCCCAGACACTCAACAGCCAAATGCTTCAAACTTTCCAATCCCTACCTTTTTTCCCTGATCTAGCGACGGAGGACCCAACGGCGGACCCAGTCTTTGTAACGTTCGACCCCCAACCCCACTAAATATCATCATCTTCTGCACCACGAGAGAAAAGAACCTCTCTGCCCCTCAACAACATCAAAAAGGGAGTCTCCAAGGCCCTAGAAATCCTCAAAAAGAAAAGCACGCTAGATGAGGAAGGAGAAATCTACGGCCCCCTACGAACAGATTCGCTCCTACTAGACTTAGTCAGCACAATTGAATTTAGTCTCAATACCAGCGAGGTGCTAGTGGTTCTATGTCCCAAATCGATGGTCAAGTGTGGAATGATCTTAGTGTCCCTCCAAACTCACGTTCCTATCAAAACTCTTCTGAATTTTACCCTAGTCTTGAGCCTCAAGAGGAAAACCCCTCCGTCTTCATCGAGGTGTCCGCAAGGAACAGGGAACCCTTAGGAGAGTCTCCACCTCCAACCCCTACCTCCCTTAATAAATTATATCTTATGGAATGTTAGGGGTGGTAACAATATTGAATTCAAGCGGTATTGTATGGAAATGGTGAAGATGCACAAGCCAGCCATGCTCGTCCTTCTTGAAACCAAAATGGCAAAGCACAAGAAGTTGGCATAGGAGCTCCAGTTCGACATGATTATCCAGTCACCAGCAATAGGCATGTTGGGGGGAGGATTGTGTTTATATGAAAATAGGACTATGTGAGTGTTGAAGAGGTGGCCACCACTCCCCAAGGTATCCATGCAATGGTGAATGTAGTTCCTAATTATTCTCCATGTCTTTTCTCTACAATCTACGCAAGTAATATTCTAGCTAATAGGAAAATTCTGTGGGAGAACTTAATTTCAATCTCCAAAAATCTCACAAACAACTGGTTTGTGGGAGGAGACTTCAATGAAGTCTTAAAGGCTAGGGATAAATTTGGGGGCAATCCCATAAACCCTTAGTCGTAGTAACCTATTTTGGAACTGTATAAATGAATGTAATCTTCTAGATATATGTTACAAAGGGAGAAAATACACCTGGTCAAATAAGAGATACAGTAATAGGGCCTCTCTTATCCTACAAAGAATAGAGAGATGCTTTGCAAATGAAGGTTGGATCAAACAGTACCTTGAGGCTACTGTTTTGCACCTTCCTAGGACCCACTCTAATCACTGTCCCATCCAAGTTAGCCTGGTAGGATCATCACCCAACAACCTGACTAGGCCCTTTAGATTTGAGTCAATGTGGGTTAGCCACTCATCTTTCCCTAACATCATCAATAAGGCTTTCTCTGACCACTCTACTCTCCTCCAATACACTGATTTTTTCAAAATATTGTTACCAAATGGAACTGAGACACCTTTGGTAACATCTTCCATCAGAAGAGAAGAATTCTTGCTAGAATTTGAGGAATCCAAAGATCCCCTAACTACCAATTTAGTAGCTATTTGCTAAACCTAGAAACCAATTTGTCTAGTGAGCTTAACTTAGTCCTAAAAAATAAAGAGGATTTCTGGAAGCTCAAATCTAGGATTAACTGGATCAATGAGGGTGATGCTAGCACAAGATTCTTCCACACCTCCACCCTTAATAGAAGAAGAAGGAACAAAATCCTTTCTCTTAAAGAAGAGAATGGAAACTGGCTCCATGATCAGCATGATATCAATTCTTGCTAGAATTTCAGGAATCCAGAGATCCCCTAACTACTAATTTTAGTAGCTATTTGCTAAACCTAGAAACCAATTTGTCTAGTGAGCTTAACTTAATCCTCAAAAATGAAGAGGATTTCTGGAAGCTCAAATCTAAGATTAATTGGCTTAATGAGGGAGATGCTAGCACAAGATTCTTCCACACCTCCACCCTTAATAGAAGAAGAAGGAATAGAATAATCTCTCTTAAAGAAGAGAATGGAAACTGGCTCCATGATCAGCATGATATCCAAACTGCCATAATGGGTTTCTTCACAGATCTCTACACCCCCTCCCACTCCCAAGCCCCAATGGCCACCACCAGTCATCTCACTATGTCCTATACTCTGTCTGACTCCCAAAGAGACATACTAGACATACCTCTAGAGTTAGGTGAGATAAAAAGAGCAATCTTTTCCCATAAACCCTTCAAATCTCCTGGCCCCGATGGCCTCCACCCTTTCTTCTACCAGAAATTCTGGGACATAGTGGGAAACTCTATCACAAATTTTGCAAGAAGTGTTTTTCCTCCATCTCCATGAATGAAACCATGAACCAAACCCTACTATGTCTCATTCCAAAATATCCTTAAGCATCAATGTTGAAAAGCTTTAGGTCAATTGGTCTATGTAATATAATATACAAGACCACTACTAAGATTATTGTCAACAGAATAAAACCACTTTTGCCTCATATCATTAAGCCTAGCCAAGCCAGTTTTCCTATCCAACAACCTGTGACAATGCCATCATTGTCCAGGAATACATTACTCATTTTAGATAAATGAAAGGGAATCAGGGCAACAAGAT